CTAACTCCCTATCTCTCAACTTCTCTTTGTCACATAGAGTTGACGGTTGTGGAATGGCTTGGGAATCTGGTGCAAAGGCTGCAGACACGGAACAGAGGTCAGTATCCAAAACCGGAATCATAGGTATACCTTGCAATGGCTTGGGAATCTGTTTTTTCTTCTCAAAAAAACAAAAAAAAAATGTTTCCTTTCCTTTGGAAGAACACAGTGGAGTACCGGTTCCAATGGATTGAACTTTCTGTGAAGGAGGTCCATCGGTTGGGACCACTGGCTACCTGCTTCCGGAGCTCTGTTGCTGATCCCTAACCGGAGTATCCCTATTTATTGTCTGATGAGTCTCAACCAAAGCCTTATTCGCTTCCTGTCTTTGGCTTCCACTGGGAGGTGATTTTCTTTGATTAGGTATTAGAATTTCTTCCCCGACACCCAGAATATTCTCGGCCTCATTGAGACCCCTGCTACTGTTGCGCAATTTGAGATATGTGTAGCTTCTGCAAGCTTCTCCTCTGCTACGAACATCTCGGCTATGTGAAAGGTTTCCACCATCTCTTCCATTTCAGCTAGATTTCCAACACTGCCAATCAAGGATTCAACATCCGACTCGTAGTCATCATCCTTAGATACTTCATGGTCTAGCCACCCATCATCCACAATATCTTTCTCTTCTAATTGTTCTCAGGCAAATTCGGATTCGAGCAATCAGTTGCTTCCTTACCAGGGTCCTTTTTGTCCTCCATCTTCCTTGGAGCCCACTGTAACGACTGCCACCATCAATTCTCAGTTTTTTCTGTACCTTCAGTTGGGGACGATGATACACTATAGTTATTGTACCCAACAAGTTTTTTGTCCCCATGACTCACATTACTTAAAGAGTCACATGAGTCTCTAGCAAGATGTTCGGCCGACCCAAGCTTCCTTTCAGCCCGACACAAAATTGGTTTGGTTCTGTTATGAACATTTTCTTCGATTATTTTTTGTGGGCCCCACCCTGAGTCTGACCAAGCACCCAATTTAACCGCCTCCAAGAAAGTTCTAGGCCGCTCTTTAACCACTTGTGATTTAAAAACTCCTACAGCTCAACACCCTTTAGACGACTATTCACCTTCCTCGGCAATTTTATTGAAGGTCTCACCAGCTCAGCTTGCATCTGCTGCATCTCCTTTGTTGCCACATGGGAACCATCTCGCCAGCTCAGCTTCATCTTCAACCTTGGAGCATTCCCACCACAACGACACTTCAGCTTCTGTAGCTAACCAGATTACCATCACCCTTCTATGAACAGATTGCAAGACCTTGGAATGGACTCCGGCTTAACACTAGAGATTTTGACAGTCACTGCTGCAAGATTTTCAAAACTGAAACTTTCAATCTTCCCCCTACCGCTTAGCAATCTTAGCAATACTCTACTCGTTCCACAAGTTAAATGGCAACCCTACCAACTCTCCTCGTTACAGTTTGCTTCCAAGGCATGGTCTCACTTCTTTTCTGTTTTTTTTATTTTTATTTTTTCTTTTCTTTTTTTTTTTGTGGGGTGGGGGGAGTAACAGAAAAAAGGAATGATTTGTAAATACTGATATAGCAAAGACAAAGGAATAATCAACTAAATGTTTTTTGTTGTACTCTGTAGCCCATGTTTGTGATGACAGAGAGGTGTATCATTTCTATTAATAAATTTTAAGTTATTGTTTCTTGTGAAGAAAATTTTATTTTGAAGAGCTAAAATCTAATAAAGAACTGACTAGTGGAGTCAAGCCAATTTCTTTTCGAAATTCATTGAATCAACTAAAGTTGCCCAAGTGTGTGATATTAAGCAAGTCATCAGCCTCACTCAACCCAAATTGAGTTGAGTCAATTCATACGAATACTAAACCAGCTTAATGAGTCTTATAGTTACATTTCCATCCCAGCAGCTTTTGACTACCCTTATCCTTGCAGCAATTGGAGTAATTTGATTTTTTTTATCAGCAACACAAATTTTTTTAAACTTAAAGAGAGAGATTGCAACATGAGGTTGTTAGAACAGAAACCCTTTACAACAATTAGATCCCATCACCTTGTCATAATTGATCCCAATGCAAATGATTTCTATGTACTCCTTGCTTAGCTAGTTCATCTGCCAAACCATTAGCAGACCTTCTATCTTTGACAGCATCTTGAACTGCCTGAATTCATTTCTAAATTGCCATAACACTCCTTTTTTCAGCCATCCAATGACTATCTTTGAATCCCCTTCCACAACCAGCCTTGTGATTCCCATTTCCTTTGCTTTTTGCATCCCAACAGCCATGAATTCTGCTCTCACTTGATCACCTTGTTCAATTGGCCCTGAAAACAAACCACAAGTGTTTTCATCCTCATCCCAAATCACAACTCCAATTCCAGAAGGTCATGGATTGCCCAAACTACTACCATCAAAATTGAGTTCCATCCACCCACCAATCGGGAGAGATCATACCTCAAGGATTTTTTGTTTCCTAGAGGAGGATTAAGCAATTGACCCCCAATTTCTAAAAAATTCTTCAAGTGAAAAATCTGAAAATAGTTTCAAAGTCTTCACCCAATGTGATACTCTTATTGTAACAGTCTCAATAACTGCCTCCTTATTCCTTTCTTCATCCTTAAATATTCACAAGTTCCTCTCTCCCAAATTGTCCACACTACCACTGCCCTTGCACTTTTCCACAAGATTCTGCCTCTTCTCTTTGTACCCCTCAAAAGAGCCGAGCTAAAGGGCCATTCGAAACTAACAAGACAGATCCACCTGCAACCAAAAAGAGAGCAAAATCATTCCCAAATACAACAAGCAAAGGGATAGGAGATTAAGAGGTGGTAAGCAATCTCACCATTCAACTTAAACAAAATGCACCACCACTTGGGAGACAAGAACCAATTTGGTCTTTTCTTTTGCAACAAATCATATGTGTTGATGCACCCTTGATAAGATTCCTAACAAAAAGAACCAACTTTTGGGGGGATAGGAACACTCCAAACTTCTTTCACAAAAAGGAAGAGAAAGTGGAAGTGGTCACAAGGGAAGAGAAGAAGGATTTACAAGTAAACAAACTGGAAGAACTGAGAGACCACACCTAATTATCACCCACTGAAACATTAAAGACTAAGTTATCCAAAACTTCTAACACACAGGACACTGAGGGTATTTCAGACTGTCTAAGATTTCTCACCAGACCCAAATTCCATCCAAACCCAGAAGAGGAAAGAGACCAATGAATTTAGACATAAGCTTTTCTTTAAGGATTGAAAGAGCATACAAGGAAGGAAACACATCTTTCAAGGGGATCTCTTCCACCTACACATGTTCCCAAAATCTGATCTATTACCAGAAGCTAGATCATACCTGATACGCTCAAGAAATTGAGGTAGTATACCATGCAATGCTTTCCACAGTGCAGCTTGATTAGCTCTTTGCAGAATACTAGCATCCCATCCATTCCTTGAAAGGCCATGAATACTTGAAATCACCTTGTGCCACAGCCTTTCATTCTCCAAGGGGAAACGCCACAACCACTTACCTAAGAGGCTCCATTCATTATCAGTAAGTTACTTACTTGGGTAAATGCACTTACCCGGTAAGTGTTTCCCAGGAAAGACTTACCCGGTAAGTGAATTTACCAATGACCATTTTAGCCATAAAAATCCATTATTAAAAGGGGCAAATTTGTCCCATTCAAGTATTGGCAATTTTCCCCCAGGTGGGAAAGTCATTTACCCACCTAGGAGATGGGTATCACTTACCCACTTACCCAGGAAAATAAACTTTCCCTGGTCCCCAAATAAATCTGAAAAAGAAAAGAACATGGGTTTCTTGGTCAATGGGAATCAAAATCCCATTGACCAACTTTCCCCCATCTCAAAATCCAAAAAAAGAACGCCCCCAAAAGGCGAGGTTTTTCTTACTAATGTTTCCTAGACCAACCCACCCTCTTCTTTTCTTTTGATCACCTTCTCTCATCGCACCAAATGATTATTTTATCTATCTCCTAGTTCCCAAAGAAAATCTCTCATCAATTTCTCTACTTTCTTCACAGCCGCCTGAGGCATCCTGAAGACAAACATGAAATAAATACTGAATAGGGAGATTTGCCATAGTGGGTTTAATCAAAGTGATTCTCCCTCCTAATGAAATATAGTTCCTTTTCCAGCCAGCTAATCTTTTCTCTATCCTCTCCAAGACCAGGTTCCAAAAACTAACAAACCTTGGGTTGCCACCAAGAGGTAAACCTAAATATTTTAAAGGCCACTCCCCTCTCTCACCCTAAAATCTCAGCCATAGAGCCTAATTCCTCTCCCTCAAGATTTAAACCAACCACTGAACTCTTGATCCAATTAATTTAAAGATTTGACATTCTTTCTAAGAGATTCACCACCAATTTCAAATTTTCAACCCCTTCTTTACTTTCTCCATCACAAAAAATCAATATGTCATCCACAAACTGAAGATGCGTTACCAAAGTACCAACACTCTATCTCTTCCCACCACCCAACCCTTAAAAAGTGCAATTTGAATTTTATTCTTTTATTGCATAGATGTACATCCCATATATGATGCACTACATTCATATCTTGTAATCATTTGAATATGGGGCCCAGTCACTTCTTTCTTATAGTACTGGAATTTTACCTTAACCATCAAAAATTAAACATAATTGGCAATCTGTACACATACATTTTTTCAGTTCTGATTTATGGTACATAAAAAGTTCCTTGTAAAAAGAATGATATAAGATCAGAAATGCTCCTTCATTTTCTTCATTAATAAGAAAACTTATAATGATAATGAGAGTGATCTCCTAACCAAAGAGAGAATAGAATAGAGGTTTTAGCAATTACTTAGCTGACAGGGAAATGAAAAGCAATATGAAGATCAAATGATACATTTAGCTCCAAGCACTCAAGTTTCAAGGCCATATAAAAAATAGCAGAACAGGATACACAGAGAGAATAACTTAAAAACATAAGATTCAGCATAGTAAATATTTCACCTCTTGTTGTGCAGGAGCAAGAGGTCCCTTCAAGGCTTTTGCAATTAAATCCCTAAAAGCAGCTCCTCTGCTGGTGTCAGCACACATCCCATAGTCCCACAACAGCTCATGATTATTGTCAGGATTTAGCCACACAAGCTGTAAGAGATTTGAGAAGGGTTAACTCCAACAATATTGATCACATCTCAAATAACTGTATATTGTTTCCTGATATAAAATTCTTGCCTCTCCATCTTGTACTGGAAGTCGTGGTGGAAGAGGCCTGATCCATTGAGGTTCCAATCCTTCCAGTGATAAATTTTGCAACATCCCAGTTATTGCCACATCCCTATCTCCCGATCCAATCCTTGGTTTGGCACCAGGCAGTACAAATTCAAGCCTGAAATGTCAGTTGATTTCTTTGCAAAATTCAGTACAGAAATCCCATATTTTAAATAAATAAATAACAGTAATGAAGATGCTGAAAGTGATGTTAAAAGGAGTGATGATGATGATGATGATGATGATGATGATGATGATGATGATGATGATGATGATGATGATGATGATGATGATGATGATGATGATGATGATGACAATAATAATAATAATAATAATAATAATAAAATCATGACAGCATTGTTTGACAGAAAAGGTCATACTCTGGTGAATTTGCATCACAACCATGAGGAAGATCAGGATCAGGAATTACATTCTTGACAGCAGCACCCCTGAACAAGCAATTGTATGGTTCAGGCTGTACTTTGTCAAAATGTTGCTTTTGCAACTGTTCACGTTGCAAGAAAACCTGATAGCCAAGGAAAATATTCAAACAGGAAACACCATCATTGTATGTCAATTTATTTATGATAAGTACCATTCATAAAACTCATATATAAGAACACAAATAACTTACATGTGATGAAGGATCAAATCCTTTGATGTAATCTACAGCAGACTGTTTAAGCACCTGCATAAGGAAAAAAAAAACAAAAACATATAAAAGTCCAAAAGAATGTATTATTCAATGTACAGAGCGAATGATATTAAACAGCAGGAATATAGTATGCTGAAACATAAAGCATGTGCTCATTCATGTTACAGTCAGAAGTTAAATACAAGCCATGCATAAAACATCTGGCTTGTAATAAATATAGAAGCCTATCAGTAACTAGATTGGTTCACTGACGGATCAAATTCAGAGAGAAGAAAGTAAATGAACCTCTTTCGTGTTGCTAGCAGTGGAAGACCCCAGCAACTGAAGAATAAATGCCCTTTCCATTTTTTCAGCAGCATCATCACATGCTTCCTATAAAAAATAAAAAAATAAAAAAAAAAAAAAAAAATCTAGCATTTATGTCAGATTTAATCCATTTCTGGCCTTCTGGGGAGAAAAGTTAAATTATGTATATCAAGAAGACAAAACACCAAAATAGATTGCAAGGAAAATAAAACATTAGATTCAATAAAATGCTAATCATTATCTTTCCTGAAAATTTTTAAATAATAAAAAAAGATCAACTAATCTCCAATATCACCATATATAACAATAGCTTTGTAATTGGAATTTGGATAACGTCAAGAATACCACAGCAAACCTACATTGATAAGAAAAGAAATGAATGGGTTGGCAGAAAATGGCTGTGATGAATAAGCCTGGTGAAGAATAGAAAATGCAACCAAGCGCTGAGTTGGTTTGAGCATCTTTTTCTCCTGAAACAAAGTTTTACCTAGTTAGTAGTTGATCACAACAGCGTTTTTTATAATAAAATAAAATTTATTAAAAGAAAAAGAAATAGTACAAGGGTGGTGACCAGTGGTCACCTGAGAGAAGAAAGAAAAAAAAATCCTCCGACCTCCCAAAACCTCCAAGGCATACACCATTCCAACAAAGGCAAAGACCTAACAAATCATCCCACCTATAAAAACTTTAGCAAAAAAGAAAACATACAACTCTTTGACAATCCTTCAATCCAACAGCCTGGAAAAAAGATACTACTTTGAAAATTTCCTGGATTTCATCACTTTCTTATTTGGTCCAAAAGCCCAAACAAACCCCCTTTTATAATATTGTCCATGGCTTTATCCCCCATACACCTATTGACCTTGTCCCCTTACCTCTTGATGCCCATACTTCTGTATCTGTTCTCTGTTGATTTTTTTGCCCAACATATCCGTGATTTGAATGCCAGTATAAGATGAAAAACTGCTTCAAGTAATGAAAACTATAGACTTGCTACAAATGCACATCATAGAAATCAAGAATTCAATGAAGGAGATTATGTCATGGTTCATGCGCGTCCCGAGCGTTACCCAAAGCACTCCTTTAAAAAGTTATATGCCCAAGCCAATGGCTCATTGCACATCATCCAAATGATAGGACCTAATGCATATGAACTTGACTTACCTTCGGACATGTGAATTAGCTCAACTTTCAATGTGGAGGATTTGTTTCCTTATCAGGGCACCCACGAGCCTCCTACTCTACCTACAGGTGTCCACAACCAGAATTGCTTCACCTTTAGTACCCATACCCATTCTGCCCCGAGTTCAATCTTCACATGCCGAGCAAATCAAGAGTATTCTCCATGATGAAATTGTCACTTCCAAACTAGGTGGTTTTCAGCATTATCTTGTGAAATGGAAAGGTTGGCCTAAGACTGATGCTACTTGGATTTCAGAAGATGAACTTCGTCGTCTTGACCCAGATCTATTGGAGCAGTATCATTCCCTTACCTCTCCTGAGGAGAGTTCTCTTCCGCCGGGGAGAATTGATTGAGATCACTTTGAGACCAAAGCACCACATAGAATTCGTACTTATTTTAGGCATAGACGACATTAGTTTAGAGTTACTTAAATTAATGCAAAATTTGGGTTTAATTGTAAAATTTCTAATAGGGGTTATTTGTAATTTTTATATTTGGTAGGGGCTAAATTATAATTTTCATATTTGGTAAGAATTTAATTGTAATTTTCAGTTTCTAGGTTTCTTATAAATTTACATTATGTTAGGGTTGTATTATGTTATGTTTTGCAAAATAGAAATTTCCTAATTCTCTTCTTACTCGTGTTTCTACCTCTTTCTTCTAAAATGTGTGCTGCATCATTAGTCCACATAATATTGAGATCAGTCAATGCAATGATTTGAGAGGAGAGCAGTTGGCTGTTAGACAATTTTGTATGCCCTTAGCTTCAATCAATTTTGATGTACTTTTGATATTTAATGTAAATAAATAAAGTACATGTTTGATTCATGTTGTGTGGTATGCTTCTGTGTATGACCCTAAAACTGAACACTTAATGAGACGTGTTAGTTTTAAATGTTCACAGCCGTTGGATAAGTGTGGGGAGATTTATCCTATCAAGACCGACACTGGTGTGCTGCCAATTGTTGGGGTGGCTTGTCTCAGCCGCTAGGGTGAGACCCAAGGTACACGCAGTGTAGGATTACTTGAACCCTTGAACAGGACCAGATTTCCAGTATTGCCCTGGACCTTGGAGATTGATGGGCAAAACTAGAAAGTTACACCTGACCCCTAGACCCGATAATGGTAATGCACTAGGTGTCGGATTGGGCTGTCTTTGATTTGCCAATCAGTGAGATCCTTAGCGGGGGTCAAAACCTGGGTATGTTGGGACAGTCTGAGAATTCATCTGAGTGGGTGATCATAGTGACGGGATCAGCCCCTTTGTCGGACAAAGGTAATGATCGGGGATGCACTCTCTCTGATGGAAACCAAACTGCCGGCAGTTGATTTCAATCGTTGGAATTTTGTTTTGCAAAATTTATATATATGATATATACTTATATATGGTTCAAATTGTTTGCAAATGGTTTTAATTCCTGAGATCCATGTGAGTAGAGAGTGCAGCACTGTTCCTTGCAGCCGAGGGAGAGGTCCTCTCTTGTCGGGCAGTGCTTGATCATTATGGGCTAAGAGGTTAAGTGTAAGGCCATTTAGGATAATACCTGATGGGCTAATCTTGCATTTGCCCACAGTCCCTGGGTTTTTATAAGATGGCTTGGCCCAGGGACCACTTAGTGTAAGTGTTGGGCCCATAGGGTCCATGTGATGGGCTCAAGGGGTTCACTGGGCTTTCCAATGAATTCGGCTAAGCCTTGTAACAAAGGCTGGGCCGAAACCATGTGGCTGATGTGGAGATCAATGCTTGGGTCGCACGCCATACAAAGAAGCCCAACTGGGCAGCAGTTTGGAAACTTATTGAGCACTAATTATTTATTGGGCCTAAAAGTCCATTTCGAACTGGGCTAATTTGATCACCCACTTAAAGGGGCGAATCTACAGATAGGATTAAGACTAACCTCCTGATGAGATCAGGAAGGGGCTGATCTAATCTGCAGATAGGATTAAGATTATCCCCTATCCAAATACAGATTTGGATTGGGATAACTCCTAATTGGATTAGGAGGTTTCTTAATCACTAAGAAAGGAGAAAACCCTAACAAAGAATTACAAGAATTCGACCTAGGGTTTTTGCAGTTAACACTCTCTGCAATCTGAGAGAGGATCTCATCTTCCTTAAGCTGAAAATTGCATTCACGCCACTTTCAGCTTAGGGATCTCCTCCAGCCGTCGCCACCTTGCTGCATAGTTCGAACTCCATTGAAGGGAGAATCAAGAAATCTGTTCTTGATATCAGTCTTTGCTAAAAGGCTGATTTGGTTCGGTGCTCTAAGCCTCCAACGAGTTCTTGTGAAGAGTTCGGTACGTGAGACGTACACTGTTGGTTCTGCCCCACCATCGCTGTGTCATCTTCAGCGGGAGCAGATCTTGGATCTTTCTTTGGGTGTGAACACCGACGTTGGGAGATTTTGATTCTTCATATCAGGTATAACCCTTCCCTTGATCTTTGGTTCAGATCTGGTCTAGTTTGGTTCGCGTAGATCCTTGAATATTTGATTCTAAAATAAGGGAATGCGATTCCCAGTTGGAAGAAAGGTAGGAAATTTTTGAAATTCGCCCACCCATTCCGCAATCTTTTTGGCGTCCATTCGATGGATCCTACCATTCTTTCATTGGCGTGGTGTCCATACTTTAGGAGACCTCTACTTGAAAGGGAGATGGAAGAATGTATCATGTTATAAGCAAGCTAGAGGAGGTGAGGATCTCTATTTTCAAAGAGAGATGAAAAGGAATGAAACAATGACAGGTTCTCAGTCAAGTCTTTCTATTATGCAATTACAAGGAATCAGATGGAGATTTTCTAAATAAAGGTATTTGGGGCAATCCCATTCCCCAAAGGATGGAGGCTTTTGCAAGACAAGTGGCAATAGACAGCATACTGACAGCAGATCATTTAAAGAGAGTTTTGGTAGTAAAATAGAATTTATTAAAAGAAAAAAAAAATGAAAGCACAAGAAAGGTGGCCAGCAGTCACCCAGGAGAAGAGACAACCCCCCCCCAAAAAAAAAAAACAAACTGACTCCTCAAACATCTCCCAACACCAACCCAACAACACTAAAGTCAGTCATCCACTCCCAACAACCTTAAAACTAAATAAATATACAACAAAACAACAAAAGACCCCTTCAACATGGACCCCAATCTAAAATCACCCTCCCCAACAAAGAAACTACTCCTTTCCAGCAGAGGCCAGTGCAAGAATCTCCTATCTTCCGCTTAAGGACTCTTTTAGACTTCTTCATTTTTCTAGTTAAGCCCAAACAAGAAACTACTCCTTTCAGCAGAGGCAAGTGCAAGAATCTCCAAACAAGCTCCCCCCCCCAGCCACGCATGGGGTTTTTATGCTTTCTAAAACATCTTACTGCATTAGGGAACTGCTTCAAGTCCTCAACGTCTTTAGTACTAACATTAATTCTTTCCAGCTCCAAAACCACATTCTTTTCAAAAGTTTTGAATTCAATCCCTTGATTGTTTTCTTCTACAACAGCACACCCTCTCCATCTGAATCCAATCTTTGTTGAAACACTTCTACTCTTAAGTTAAACCCTTCCACCTCCTTGTAATTTATTTTGTAACCTTTCCTTCTCATCCAAATGCCTAAACACCCTCCTTGCAAACTCTTCATCCCCCCCACAAAGAATAGCCCCAAAATTTTACTTACTTCCTCCTCACTATTCACTACTTTCTCTAGATCAATCTTACTCTGGATTTCATGTGTTTCGACAATAATAACCTCTTCTGCACTTTCTTCCCCTTCCCCAGACCCTTCCTCAAACTCCCCATCGTCGTTATCAGTTTAGTTTTGGACTTCCTTGCCCTCTTGTATACCTTTATCTCTTCACCATTGCCAATGCTGAAACCTTTTCCTTCCACACCCCCCCTCTGAGCACTCTCCTCCTCCTCCTCCCCACTTTCCACCTTCTCAGATTCTGCCTTCCTTTCTCCCCCCCCCCCTTCTCTTCTGCCTGAACACTGGTGATTTCAACACTAGCATCTACTCTGTTTAAACAATTCATGCTCAACATTGTCCACATTTCCGCTACCACCTCATGCTCCTTTCCCAGCCATCACTTCCCTCTCAAATAGCCCTGATCCATTGTATACTTCCCCTTCACCCCCATGGCCCCATGTTGTGTTAACATGACAGATCCCCCCTAGATCCTTCTCCAAAACACCTCCTAAATCCCTCTAAACCAACACACTCTCATCAATAACTCCACCTCCTAACCCACCCGCAACAATCTTTGCCTCAACTGTAGCACCCCAACCTTCTCTTTCTCTTTAACA